AGAGAAAAAGAGCGAGAGAAAGAAAAAGCGAGAGAAAGAGAAAAAGACAGAAAGAGAGAGAGAAAGAGAGAGTGAGTGAGAGGGGGGAGAGAAAGAGGGGGAGAGAGAGAGAGAAAGAGAGAAAGGGGGAGAGAGAGAAAAAGCAAGAGAAAGAAAAAGCAAGAGAAAGAGAAAAAGAGAGGAAGAGAGAGAAAGAGAGAGAGAATGAGAGAGAGAGAGTGAGAGGGGGAGAGAAAGACGGGGGAGAGAGAGAGAGAAAGAGTGAGAGAAAGAAAAAGAGTGAGAAAGAGCGAGAGAGAAAAAAGAGAGTGTGAAAGAGAGAAAGAAAGAGAGAAAAAGAGAGAGAGAAGAGAGAAAAGGAGAAAGAGAGAAAAAGAGAAAGAAAAAGAGAAAAGGAGTAGGAGAAAAAAAGAGAGAAAGAAAAAGAGAGAGTGTGAAAGAGAGAGAGAAAGAGAGAGAGAGAGCGACCACTTAGCCTGCCGTCCAGTCTTCCCTATGCCAAGGGCGCCACTCCCCCCCATGGATGGTCAGCTGCGCAGCCTCAATGCCAGCCTGATCGGGCAGGAGCCCGGGCTGCGTGGCAGCGCCTGGACAGCCGCGTTCCTCTGCTTCGTCATCCTCCTGACCATGGTGGGCAACGTCGCCCTCATCCTCCTCATCTTCAGCCAGCGCTTCCTGCGCAACACGTCCAACTTCTTCCTGGTCTCCCTCTTCCTCTCCGACCTGATGGTGGGCCTGGTGGTCATGCCGCCGGCCATGCTGAACCAGCTCTACGGGCGCTGGGTGCTGGACGGCGCCTTCTGCTCCGTCTGGTTCTCCTTCGACGTCATGTGCACCAGCGCCTCCATCCTCAACCTGTGCGTCATCAGCCTGGACCGCTACCTGCTCATCATCTCCCCACTCAAGTACAAGCTGAGGATGACCTCCGGCCGGGCCTTCTGGCTCATTCTGGCCACCTGGACAATGGCTGCCTTGGTGTCATTCCTGCCCATCAAGATGGGCTGGCACAAATTGGAGTTCGACCGCCGTCCGCTCAACGCCACCCTGCAGCCGGAAGGGGAGCAGTGCCGCCTGCTGGTCAGCTTGCCTTACGCCCTCATTGCCTCCGGCCTGACCTTCTTCCTCCCCTCGGTGGCCATCTTGTTCACCTACTGTCGGATTCTGCTGGCTGCGCGGAAACAGGCCCTCCAAGTGGCGTCTCTCACCAACAACAAGCCCCTCAGCGAACAAACTCCGCAGGTAAACCCAACAGCGGTTCTAGAACGGCGTTGATTCCCGGGAGGGGAAATGAGATGCTGTCGTGATGACCATTGTCCTGGGGAATTAACACGCCCTGTGATGGCTCCAGAGCAGGGGTCGCCCACCTTTTGGACCTCAGGGACCACCAAACTCATCATTTTAAATCCCTCAGACCAGAGAAAATCCCCCAAAAATGTCTGCAGGAAAATTCCCCGCCCCGTTTTCCTACTGATCGATTGTTCTTTATTTGGGATTGCAGGATACCGTCTCCAGCTCCGTTCTTGGGGGGGGGAGGAGAGAGAGAGAGAGAGACTTTTGGCTTCATGCAAGGAAAGCAGCAGAAGCAGCAGAAGTCTTTCTTTCTCTCCCCCAAACTTTGCCAGAAATGAGTCTCTGCTGGCGCAGACTCTTGGAGCAGGAGGCCTTGCAGGGTCCCAAAGACTCATTTCTGGCGGAGTTTGGGGGAGAGAAAGAAAGACTTTTGCTGCTTTACTTGCGTGCAGCCAAACGCAGAAGAAGAAAGAAGCGGAGAGAAGCAGCCCAGTGGCCAGGCGAGGTGTGTGGGGCAAGTCCCGTCCCCCGCCCTTTTCCCCCTCCTCTCACTACCTCCTGTTGTTCGCAACGCAAGCAACGCAAGCCTTGTGTTCCCGCGCAGCCTGGATTAATTGCTTTGGGGGTGACATTTCTCTGCGGACCACCAAAATTTTCTCACGGACCACCAGTGGTCCCCGGCCCTCTGGTTGGCGACCACTGCTCCAGGGGGATGATTTAACTCTGCGCATGCTCAGAGAGATAGCAATATGTCCCAAATCTTCCTTCACTTGCTTGACATGGATACCGTTTAGCACTGCATCCATCTGAAAATTAGGTGAACTCCGGGCCTGTGTCTGTCCCTCAGCCTCCAAAAAGGTTTTTCTCCCCAAGGGGTGTGTGTGTGGGTGTGTTTCTCTGCCCTGTTTTCAGCGAGCTTTCAAATTTCTCTAATGGTGTATTTTGGATTTTTAGCAGAGCAAGCTGCTCAAGGGGCACATTGTAACCAAGACACCCAAGTCCGACTAAATGAGCATTTAATCAAGGTTTTCTCCTCGTTTTAAGAAAAATAGACATCCAAAAGCAATTTCTCGTGCATTGGACAAAAAAAAGGAGGGAAATTAAAAATGAAATGTTCGTGCAACTTTAACAAAGGTTGCAAATGAAAACTTTTCTTAAGGTGGGGGGGGGTTGTATTAATTTGGAAAACGGTTGTTTTCTTCCCAAGTTCAACAGTTTGGGCATCCACTTTCTACTGCATCTGTAGAAAGCTGCTGGATTCTGTGTGAGTCCATGTTCTGGGGGTGACTTTCCCCTTCTATTAATGCAATGCAACGCATCAGAGAGTGGGAGGCTCCCTGTAGCAGTCTCTGCTTCGTGTCGAGACTCTGGAACGAGTGCAGAGAAGAGCAACCAGGAGGATTAGGGGACTGGAGGCTAAAACACATGAAGAACGGTTGCAGGAACTGGGCCTGGCTTGTCTAGGGAAGAAGAAGGACCAAGGGAGTAATTATAGCAATATTCCAATATTTGAGGGGCTGCCACAAAAAGGAACGAGTCAAGCCATTTTCCAAGGTCCCTGAAGGCCAGACAAGGAATAATGGATGGAATCTGAACAACCTGGAAATAAGGAGGAATTTTCTGACAGTTGAGAGCAACCAACCCATGGAACAGAAATTGCCTTTGGAAGTTGTGGGAGCTTCAGCCCTGGAGGCTTTCAAGAAGAGATTGGATTGTCATCTGTCAGGAATGGTGTAGAGTCTCCTGCTTGAACAGTTTAGCGGCGTTTGGACTAGATGACCTCCAAGGTCCCTTCCAACTTAATCTGATTTAAAAGCCTCCATCTAAAGACAGGCCCAGCCCACCCTCTGATGCTAAAGACACAGAGCGATCATGTCTTCCCAACCTGGGTGTGGAGGCTGCCAGCTGTGGCCCCCTGCAAAAATTAAGCATCTCAGGTATGCTAAAGAAAGAAAGAGGTTTGCATCTGTTCTGGAAGAAGCTGGCCAACAGCACCACCAAGTTTGATGGGAAAGATTAGGGAGAAGGCAAGCCATGGAGCCTAGTTTCTAAAAATCAGATGCTTCCTCTGGGAAAACTCCCAGCCTGCAGACAAGATGTCGGCTATAACTTCATTGCATTCTCATTCTTGGAAATGCAAAAAGCAGTTTGATATCCTTTCTTTAAAATAGAAGCGCAAATCTCTGGGTGGCCACCAGAGGGCAGCACTGTGATGTGGGAAATTTGGCCTCAGGCTCAGTAGATCGGAGATTGAGTGACACTTGTCCATTGATATCTGGAATAAAATCCAGTTTCTAAACTCTTTCTGGACTTATATTTTTTCTTATCCGAAGACGACAAGCTCAGCCGCTGAGACCATGCTATCAGGCTCACGCCTCCCAAAATGTCCAAAATGCTGGCCTTTAAGGTAGCCTTCCCCTGTCCAGAGAAGTTCCATTTCAACTGATAATCACAGAGCTGCTAAAGCTTTGAGGAAACAACAAAACACCTGCTTAGTTCCTGCATTTTTTCCCCTCCTCCTCGGCTATCAGAAGGGCTCGGACCTGGCCCCAGATCTTTGCAGCTGGAAATCCACATTTAAAAGGCTTCTAATTCCAGAGTTTGGGGAAGGGGCTGACTGGAAGGACGACCTCTTATCTGGCCCTCTTTCACTCTCTCGTCCTCTGCAAAATATCTGCAGTTCTCAAAATAACAGGAGCAGAGGTGGAGATGGAACTGTTCCTTGGAAGAAAGGGAGGGCAAATATCAGTGCCAGCCCTGTTTTCCTCTCCCCCCCCCTCCCCAGTAATCCACCCACCACCTTGTACCATGTGTGAGTAGGCGGGGAGCAACTGCTCAGCTGGGGTGGAAGCACAGAGTGACTCTTAATTGCTTTCCCGATGCAGCCAAGGAATTAAAGCTACACAATTTGGCTGAATTTGGGTCCTCGTTGGGTGCAGAGCCTCTCCTTCAAGGCCAGTCTACCCGCCTGTCATAGGGGGTGGGGAGACGGTGCAAGAGAAGCGTCTAGGATGGAAAACCCGCCAAGGAAAAGTGTCCGTTACCTGCAAAAAAAATTCCCCCCTTCTTCTGTAGTTAGTTTTATTTGCATGGGCAATGCAGCTACGGTTAGTAATTTAACCCTTCTTATAAATACTCTTAACGGTTTCTTTCTTTTTGTTTATATATATATATATATGTTCTGTCTCGCCTTTCCTCTTTCCCAAAATATGAAAGAGTACAAACTCACAGCAACACAGGCAGGCAAGCTGGCTCGGACTTAATTCTTTGTTCTTCTTAATTCTTTGTAAGAATTCTTAATTCTTACTCTTTTCCAAAGAATTAATTCTTTGGAACTGATAATATTCTTGGCATTCCCACATGTCCTGCCTGTCAAGTCCGAACTGATAAAGTTTTACTCACAGAAAATCACAAGGCAGTCCACAAAAATAGTCATTCATGAAGAAAATCTGAAGTAAGGTTAAACTTTGTCCCGTACAAAGTTTCAGGAGAAAACACACCCACTTTTCTCCCCTGTGGGGTGTGGCTCAATGACTCAGCTCACTCTCTGACCGTCCCACGCCTCCTACGTTGCTGCTCATGTTTCTCCCTACGACGTTGCTTAGGATCGAGCCAACACTTTTCCTCTTTACTCCCTGTCAGGGGCTGCTCTGATATGCCTTCCTCTTGATTAATCTCAGGCTGTTCCTCTCGGTTGTCTGATGGAACCTGAGGCATTATCAGGGAGGAAGGTCCTGGGGAGGAAGGCATTCCCAGTTCCTCCTCCTCATCTTCCAGGTCTTCTTCCTCTGACAGCATAGGCTCGGGAATCGGGGCCACAACACTATCCCCCACCGCAGGGCCCTTCCCCCAAGTCTGACGGTCAGGATGTGGTCACAAGGGGAAATGGTCATGGAACATCCGTATAAGGTCCGGGGCATGGATTGTGGAAGCATCCACCCAGGAGAGGGCCTCCGGCCCACCCCCCTGCCTCTCGATCAAACACTGGGACCACCCTTTCAGCCAGCGGGAATCCCTAATGCTGGCCACCTTGCCTTCTACTGCACCATCTTCCCAGGGCACAGGTGGTGGATCAACAGCTGTGGGACATCGGAGATAACACGAAGGGGCGTCAGGGACCAAAAGGGAACGGTGGAAGACTGGATGAATTCGCATGGAGCGCGGTAGAGTCAGTCGATAGGCTATGGGGTTGATGACCGCCTCAATGAGAAATAGGCCGATGAACCAACGGTCCAGCTTCTTTATCGGGCAGTCGACCTGAAGATGTTTTGTGGATAACCACACACGGTCTCCTACAGCCAGCGGAGGCGTTGCCCGTCGAGAGCGATCTGCGCACCACTTGTAATCTTCCTTGGCCTGTATCAGTTGCTGCCGAACTAACTGCTGAACTGAGTGAAGTTCCGAAAGGAATTCCCGGGTCTCGGTAAGAGGGGAATCTAATAGTGTCAAAGGGAAGAACTGCGGATGGTACCCCACATTAGCATAAAATGGTGTCATTTGGGTGGAGGTGTGCTGGGAGTTGTTGAATGCAAACTCCACCAGAGGGAGATAATCAGCCCAGTTGTTCTGCCGTTGGTTTACAAAACAACGCAAGTATTGCTCGAGAATGCCAATGACCTTCTCCGTCCCCCCATCAGTCTCTGGATGGTGCGCCGACGACAAGCACACCTGCACCTGTAATGCGGTCATCAGGCTTTTCCAAAATTGGGCTGCAAATTGTACACCACGATCAGAAACTACCCTGTCTGGCAGACCATGGAGACAAAAAACATGCTGCAAGAACAAACGGGCAGTTGTACGGGCCATTGGCAATTTACGACACGGAATGAAATGGGCCATTTTTGTCAACATGTCGACCACCACCAGCACAGTTGTAAAACCAGAGGACGGCAGTAAATGAGTCAAGAAGTCCATGGAAATCGCTCCCCGTGGTCTTTCTGGAGTCGGCAGAGGTTGGAGGAGACTGTGCCTGCACGGTACACAGGACGTGACATAGGCGTGGACATCATGCCGTACTCGAGGCCACCAAAAAGTCCGCATTACAAGATGGAGGGTCTTAAAAAACCCAAAATGGCCGGCTGCAGGGTTGTCGTGACACTGAGTCATAATAAGGGCTCGAAGCGGCCCCGTGGGTACGTACAACCGGCCCCGATGCTTGAGTAAACCCTCCTCCAAAGTCCATGGGGATTCGGGTCCAATCTCCCCCATCCTCTGCTGTGACCAAACGTCTAGGCGCTGCGCCTCTCGCACCTGAGTCCGCAAGTCCACCAGTTCCTGGACTGCGGCCAAGGATTCTGCTGGCAGCACCATCCGCGGAGGAAGGGGATCCTCAGGGCAAAGGTACTCGGGTTTGCGGGACAGGGCATCTGCCCTCCGATTGTGACCACTGGGGATATAGGTCACAGAAAAGTTGAACCGGGCAAAAAACAACGACCACCGGATCTGCCGCTGGTTCAACTTTCTCGCCGTTGACAAGTGTTCTAAATTCCGATGGTCCATCCGGACCTCCACCTTGTGTCGGGCCCCTCGCCAAGCCTCAAACGCAGCCTTGATGGCCAGTAACTCTTTTTCCCAGGTGGTGTAGTTGCGTTTGGAAGGAGTGAGTCTCCGGGAATAATAAGCACAGCGAAAAAGAGTGGCGCTATCCACCGGGGCTCGCAACAGCACCTCCCCAATAGCCACGTTGGACGCGTCCGTCTCCACCACAAAAGGATGATGCAGATCAGGGTGCCTCAGGACGGGTTCTGTGATGAAGGCATTCTTGAGGGCCGCAAAAGCCTGTTGCTGCAGGGGGGCCCACTGGAACGGGACCTTCTTTTGAAGGAGCTGGGTTATTGGAACTGTCAGCTTGGCAAAACCCGGGATGAAGGTCCGGTAATAATTAGCGAACTCCAATAGGCGTTGAACGTCCTTCACGCCACGAGGGGATTCCCAACTACATAAGGCCTCCACCTTGCGCGGGTCCATGGTGATGCCTTCGGGAGAGATGATGTGCCCAAGGAACTCTA